TAATTTAGCATTCATGGAGGTAAAACTTGGGTACTAACGATTTTTGATTATGAATTCATCTTTATGGAGACTAATTATGGACTTTGGAGCCACTCTGGCTTTTCTGTATAACTTTCACTTCCAGAGGGCTGATTTTGAGGCGTTCACCTCTGCACACATCAGCATCAGCACTAGGTGGCAGCTGCAACAACACATTGCAGAGGAGAAGAAAATAAATTAGTATTTTCGAGGGCTCTAATTGAACAGGCCTCCTGATAACCAGGATTTACAAACCCTGTCGTTTATAGCAACCTTCCACAGCAAACAGTCAGATTTGTAAGGTGATGAAGAAGGATGTTCAGCAGAGCAGGGAGAAGCAGCTGCAAGTAAAGGCTGGCACGTTTTTACCTCGCTAAAACCAAGATCAAAGGGTTACACTGAAAGCTCTTCCCCTCTTTCTACCTGCAGAAGGATGTGATAATCCCTACCCTCTCTTCTGTGAGCACACAGCCCTGGGAGCTGCAACAGCAGTGGCAGGAAAACAATAACAGGCTACAGATCTGCAGCCTCCCCCAGGTGTCAGCTGGGCCAACAAAGCAAGGACTTCACGCCAACAAATGCCTCACAAAATCCTTCTGAAATGAAGAATTACTTCTGCCTGCTGAATACACACACACAGAGGCACCAACATCTCCCCAGCTTCTGCTGAGGCTCCTGCATTCCCAGAGACAGGAACACAATTCCCTAATTTAGGGATCCAGCCCAGAGGAATCTAAGGTGGCTTGAAGGCTCCTCTGGAGCAAAGATCTCCCAAGTTTGTGTCTCGTGCCCAAACTGTTTAATATGCTTTTCAAAACACAGCCCAAGAAATCTAAGTGTGCTCATCCACACAGGAGGCAGAGTAAATGCTTCCTAACTCAGAACTAAGTAGATAAGAGGTTCGATCACAGCAACAGGAGTCTTTGGCAGAAACTCCCAGAAAAGTACTTCTAATTTACATAAACAATCTTTGCAGTAAATCAAATACTGAACAGGCACAGCCTAGGGTTGAGGACCATTTTAAAAATAACTTTCATCACTGAAGGCAAGTCCAAGAAGGAACAACCATGAGGCCTCAGCCAAAACTTTTTTATTTGCTACACATGAACCTCTGGAAAAAAGGAACTGCTTTGACAGATTTCAGGCAGGTACATCAGTTTACCAGACAGGATAACTGAGCCCAACATCCTGCCCTACTTTCTAGTCGGTGGTGACACTCCCTGTCCACAGGGACAACATCACAGTGGATCCCCTTCTTAGCTCAAATTTGTAACTCATTTGGGTGAATGGCTTCCAATTGAAAGAGGGCAAGTTTAGATTAGATATCAGGGAGAAATCCTTCCATTTGAGGGTGGTGAGGCCCTGGCACAGGTTGCCCAGAGAAGCTGTGGCTGCCCCATCCCTGGCAGTGTCCCAGGCCAGGTTGGATGGGGCTCTGAGCAACCTGGGCTGGTGGAAGGTGTCCCTGCCCACTGCAGAAGGGTTGGAAAGAGGTGATCCTTAAGGCACCTTCCAACCCAAACCATTCCATGATTTTATGATTTCCCTGCTCATGCACCTCTCAGGATTTTTAAAACATCCCCTCTTTTTCCAGCTGCGCAACCCAATGCCATGCTCACAGTCCATGTCCCACTCCACTGCTCCATCACCTCCCAGCAATATCTGGTTTTAACAGCAAAAAGGCGAGACAGCTGACCTGGGAGGGAACTGTTGTCTGTACACTGTGTAACACACTGCCATTAAAAAAAAAAAATCCCATTATTGCCAGGAAAATGAGAGGAAAAGGCGAGGTGCATCCAGCCTTTGCAGATGCCTGTTATCAAAACTAAAGAGCTCAGAGCCGTGCTCTGAGGCACAGCCTATCCCAGGAATAACACAAGAAACAGTGGGAACACACTGTCAGACAGCTCATAAAGCTTTTGTGGGCAGGTTTTCAACCCCGAGTGAAAGAGGCATAAACGCTGACCAGCTTCTTGGGTAACAAAAGGTGAAAATATTATCACCCCCAGGTCAGAGGTTGTGGGTGAAGGTGCACCCTGTCAGGACTAGATTTAACACAGCTCCTCCACCACGTGATGTTGTAGCCACCACCAAAGGCTGTTCAGAGCATGTCCTGAATTCCCAACTCCATCACTCTTGGATTTATCTTATACAAATCCTTTTACAGAAGCCATGCAAAGACAAGAACTGCCTCAACACTCCCACTTCCAGGAGAACAGTGGGCTTATCAATGGATCCTGAAAACTGAAGATCAAGGGACCTGTTGACTGCATCCCCTTTGCCCAAGAACAATAATACATGCATACATGCCAAGTGGTGTTCCCCAGGGCTCAGTGCTGGGTCCAGTGTGGTTTGATATTTTTTGTGGTGTTAAATCCAGCCACCAGACTTTCCCCCCCTGACACTCCTCTACTTCAAATCAAGCAGACTGGTTCTGTCAGGTTGCTTCCCAAGAATCCAAATCTCTGTGGACCAAGGCAGGAGTGGGGCACACATTCAGTGCAACGGGCCATCAGCACAAATTACACAACCTGCACATTCACTTCTTGAGACCATTAAAAGAGGGATTGCTCTCCTTCATGTGGCAGGAGATGTCTTGGGCATCAGGATCATTTAATGGGGGTTGATGGATCTGCAATCAGGGAAATCATCACTGTGTAAAGAGCACAAAGCGCTCTGTAATGCCCAGAAAGGAAGGAGCAGCTCTGCGCCATTAAAGATTAATTGTGAAAATTGACTTGCTCAATTACAGAAAGAACAATGGTGCATTATCACTGCCCCATTTCTTTTGGCCTCCAGACCTGCAGAGTTTTAAAAGGACTTTTATTACATTAGTCTGCCACTATCTGAGCATTTACATAAATTAGGTAAAATATTATGAAACCACGCAGCACTTAAACACGAACTGGTTTGTTCTCATTTGCAGTAAATACTCTCCACCCTCCAGGAGCTGTGGTTACTGACCTTACTTGTACAGACCCTACCAGGTTGAAGGCCAGTGACCACCCCTCCTGTTTTTCACTCTTTTCCAGTTTCTACACACTCAGTTTATAAATGTTCTTCCCACCCTCTGTTTGGAAAGAAGCAGCAGAGCAGATGTGGAGAGCTGCCAAGCACACATACTTTTCCCCAAAATTTTCAATTGTCTTCTTTCCTTAATAACAAAGTCGCTCAGGAAAATGGAAAAACATCCACTTCACAAATATTTATGGGGAAGTGAGTGTCCATGCTCCATCAAAATTGCACTGCAGTGGATTTTTTCCTACCACATTGACCTAACAGAAAAAGAAATGAATAAAAGGCGTTGGATTCTTCTGCTCCAGCCTCTTAGCAGTTTGGCTGCTGATCTTACACTAGACAAGAGACATGTCAGGGAGTTTGTGGGATCTCCATCCTTGGAGATACTCAAAACTCATCTGGACATGATCTCAGGCTACCTACAGTAAGTTAGCCCTGCTATGACAAGGGTGGTACCACCAGACTGCCAGAATTCCCTTTTGATATAAATCTGTCTCGACCAAGTACCTGCCTTGGTGCTTTCTCCAAACCCTCACAGTCAGCTACATCAGGAGACACTGATGGGGTCAGGACATGGGAAGCACGGGCCTCAAAAGAAGGCAGTTCATGGATTACTGCAAATCACCTGGAGATTCCTACCCTGGGATAGTCAGGAAGTTCCCAGGTGAAGACCTAAAGCTTAAATACAGCTGAAAATGGAAACCAGTCAAAAGCTGTGCAGAGGTGTGGCAGCTGACTGCTTCTCTGCCCCAGTCTGGGAGCAGTTTCTGGGAACAGCTTTTGCTGCTCCTCTGCTAGTGTGGAGGAAAGACAGACTCTCCCATCATGCCATAAGAAATACTCGGCACCTTGCAGGAATCACACCTCATTCTACAATTCCCAGCCAACATCGCCAGAAAAACTCCTTCCAGACAAGGAATGTAAGCGGGCGTGGCAGCATTTCACTTACAGCAGAAGTCAGGTTCTCTCCACTGGACCAGGATGCCCTTCCTGGCACAGGCTGCTGCATAACTGGCGACAGCAGAGCACAGGCAATCCTTGCCACTGGAGCAGGAGCAGACGTCAAAGCGGCAGTTCTGCACGTAGGGAGCAGGACTGACCTCGTGGTGACAGGGTTCAAATGCAGGAGAGAGCAGGATCGAGCAGGAGTCCTCAGCATATCTGGCTAAAAAGAGGGGAAAAAAAAAAATTACATGTTTGCACTGAATCAATCGGTGGCTTTCAAGAAAAGCACAGAAGGATAATAAAATAGGATCAAGCAGGCACAGATAACATCATAGCTCATATGTCATGAGCTCTACTGAAAGAATAATGTTACACTGGTAAAACAAATCAAGAAAAAGCAATGCCTTTATATTCTGTTATCACTGTTGCTGCTGCTGTGCTTCCTTTTACAGGGCCTTTGCTTTCTGCTGCTTTTTATATTTGCAAAATTAAACCCTCTGGGCTGCACTACACTCACAAATCACCAGTGCCTGCTCTGACCTACAGCCAGAATTTTTTTTCTGTGCTTGCTTCTCCCAGGAATCCGAGGTTGCTGGAATACCTGGGGCAAGAAAATTGCTCTGAGAATTTCTCCCCACTGTCCAAGCAGGAGAGCCAAGCAGTGTGGAGGGAAAAAGGAAGGCTGTCTGTTGGGATGCAGTAAAATGAGGGAGACAATGAATCGAGGAAAGTGTTTAAGCTCTAAGCACAGAGGGACCACGAGAAGGTGTTTTCTCCATCCAGAGGATAAACATGGTATTGCTGACACCTGCAAGAGGAGTTTCAGTGGCACAGGGGTGCTGTGGCTGTCATGGTCTAACTCCAGCTGTGGCCCAAACTGATCAGCAGCATGATTCCACATTACTGACTTTTGTTTTCAATTTTCACAAAATATTACATTTTCCTGCACTGATCCAAGCCTCTGGGAGCTGGTTTTTCTTGTTGCTTGCAAAGTTTTTTTTTACACACATATTACAGCCAGCCTGCTGGCAATGAAAGCACCATTAGATTCTTCTCTCCTTATTTTCTTTTACTTATTTTCAATTTTTATTGTAGCTTCTTCTCTTGTTCTTTAATTTATTTTAATTTTTTAGTTTGTGGGTGGGGTTTTTTTTGTTGTTTTGGTTTGGGGTTTTTTTATGTAAATTGAAAGATCACACTTTGCAGCTCATTTTCACTCGGGATGGATTTCAGTACCTAAACGAGGATTGAGGTTGCAGGGGTCACTGTCTTGTTTTATCAAGTCTTGGCACTCTGCGTTTAGCTTCCAGGAGTTTCCAAAGTCTTCCAGAAGAGATTCCACCATGCCAGAAGGTGAAAGAAAATCATCCCCTTGGTCTCCATTGTAATTGCCACACAGGCCACACATCCTTTCAGAATAGACTGGAGACAGCTGAGGAACACAACATTAGCCTGGTTATCACTGTACAGCAAGACTTTTTAAAGAATTAACCATTCAATAATCAAGAAAATTATCTTTAATACTCATTAAAATACTACAGACACGACGTCATTCCACTACATTTTTAAACTTGTAGCAAAAATGCTACTATTAGTAGCAGCAGGACAATTTTTGCACAGTACAGTTATAATTTCAGGTGGTAACTGGAGGTGACTAAGAGAAAAATAGCCTATTTTTGAGCCTTGATCATCAGCCCAGTTCAGTCTTTCCCTGTTTTCCCACTGCATGCATATAAATGAGCAGGGCAACACTGGGGGCTGCATATTTTTAACGCAGTGAAATGATGACACTTCCAAGGGCAATTTGGGAAGAGATACTGCACCTGAAATCATTTCCCACTTTAAAAGGAAAATCTGAAGGTGGAGGAAATTTAAAGAGGCTGTTTTGTCCCAAAACAGAGGCGATATTGGAGGAGATGTTTCCCTCAACATTATTGAGGGGAAAATCAGGATAAAAACTACTACCCCTAAAGCCACTTTCCATTAGAACTTCCTCCTGCCCAGAGGAACTTCTGGCACAGTAAAAGCAGCATTGCTAACGACCCACAGAGCAGATGCACTTCTCACTCTGCCTTATTCCTGCTGCAAATCCAGGGGCAGCTGAAATGTGACCCTAAACCTGGAAGTAAACAGGGAGAAACCTCCTACAGCAACATCTGCAACACAAAGGCACCAACAGGTTATTTTAGTAGGGAACTGTCAGTTTGTATGAGAAGTGAAGCTCTGGTACGTGACAAGTATTACCAACTACTCAGGAGCTGACTCAGGGTTTTAATGCGTAATTAAAGATAAAAAACATCCTCAAAAATATACCCCAGCACTACCTAACCCTTCAAACAAGGTGGTCAGGGAGTAAAAATATGGAGCATCGAAAGGAACAACCATGAATTATTAGAGTATATGAATCCTCACTGCTCCAACAGCCAAGGAAGCTGCTCTTTCATATACTCTGAGGATGGAACAATGACTCATGGAAATCCCAGTTCTGGTGTATTTCAGAGGGGAAGCTCAAATCACAAATACCAAGCAGTCACAGAGAGGTGAGTCTTCTCGAGGAACACAGCAGGAATTTTTGCCAGAAGTCTGGCCAAGGTAATGGAAGTGTATCACTTCCCCCAATTGTCAGAAATACTTGGCAATGGGTCAGTCTACAAATCCAGCTTAAATCAACTCTCAAAAGGCATTTAAAGAGATGCTTTGGATACCCAGCAAGGGAAGGAACAGATGATTGGAGAAACTTACACCACTTTTATGGGCAGAGGACCTGGAGCAGAAAATTAGATTTGTTTTAAGGGAGAGAAAAAAAATTGCCCGGCAATACAGGCCTCTGACCAGGCAGAAAAACACTTTGAATACTGAGGAAAGTCAAAACTTCTGAGATGTGCCAAGGGACTGAAGTGAATCATTCTAAGCCCCAGAAAGAACTCCCTTGGAGAACAGAAATACAGGTTACATAAAAAATAAAAAAACCACCACAAAACCACAGGTGCTTTCCAAAGTTATTCTAGACCTTCCTTATCTGTTGTCTTTTCAACTCTTGAACTCAACTGTGAACCAGCTTTCAGGAACCTTCACCCTGTGCCAGCTGTGACATTGAAGCCAGATTTCAGAGCAGACAAGGAGAATTGCAAAAGCAAGGCCATGGTTCAGAGAGGGCAGCCTTCACTGCTCGGCAGAAAATCCCAGGAAAACTGACTTTCTTGGCAAAACTCCCCTCAGTGAGCAGAACCACCCCACAACAGGGTCCAGTTGCAGATCCCCTTTTAAAAGGAGGGTTCAAAGGCAGCAGGGGCTGTGGTCACAGCTTCCCTTACACAGCTCATTCCTTTTAAACCTGGCTTGGGTACCTCTACACTCTGCTGTGGTCTGCAGCACTGACAAAGCCTAATTGTTAATCAAGCCTGACTTCAAACATTCCTCACGGCAGAAGGAGCACGCAACCCATCGACAAGCTAATTCCTTCTTCCTGGAAATTGTGAGTAACTGTGTCCGTGGAGACACTTTCTTCCCTTGTTTTAAGTCATTCACATCCATTGTTTCGGACAGGACAGCCAAAGCAAATAATAAAAGCAAAAAAATCCAGTTCAGAGGGTATCTGCTGAACAAATCTCAAAACTATTCAAGGTTAATAATGGCTGTCAATGCAAAAAAAAAAAAAAAGGAAAAAAAATTTTAAAAAGAAAAGAGAGGAGAAAAAAAAAAAGCTACCAAAAGTTGCTGTAGGATCAAATGTTTGTTTCTGGAATACAAAAGGACCCGTGTATCACTCCGGGGGTAGCAGAAGAGAAAGGAATTTCTAACATGCAACACGAAGCAAGTTCTCTCTTCGGACAAGAAAATCTTTGTGCACGTTTGGGTGGGAGGAGAGGAGGGGTGAACAGGCAGAAATAAAACAGACAGGAAGGGAGAAAGAAAGAGTACCTTCACCAGGAGTTCCCCACGGCCATCCCAGTCGATCTGCAGGTGCTCCCCGTAGGAAAGGCGAACTGCAGTCCTCACCACGCGCTGGATACGGAGGGCACCTGAACACAACCCCGGAGCGTGTCAGTCATTTAGGGCAGGATGTGATGCCTGGGGCTGCTGTGCCGCGCTGGAAGGGCCAGCAGAGCAGGGGGCACACAATCCTGCCAAAGCCAGGGGTGTCTGCAGTGCCCACATCACCTGTCCCGAGCTTTGTGCCCGCTCAGCCCTTGGCATCTGCGTGAACCTGCCCACAGGCTCTGCTTCAGGGCACTGAGAGGCCCTAGGAGAGGACACATGGAGCATTTTGCCAAACCTCAGTCACTAACTGTGACATTTTGCAAGATGTAGCGACAGGACAAAGGGGGAATGGCTTCAAACTGACAGAGAACAGGTTTAGATTGGGTATTGTGAAAAAATTCTTCCCTGCGAGGGTGGGCAGGCCCTGGCACAGGTTGCCCAGAGAAGCTGTGGCTGCCCCATCCCCGAGAGTGTTCAAGGTCAGGTTGCACAGGGCTTGGAGCAACCTGGGCTAGTGGAAGGTGTCCCTGCTCATGGCAGAGGGTTGGAACTGGATGGGCTTTAAGGTCCCTTCCAACCCAAACCATTCTGTGATTCCATAATTTCAAGCTTCTGGATAAAGAGTAATAGTTTCAAAAAAAAAAAAAAAAACCAGACTGACAGTGGCTTTCACAAGTCTGACAAATGCAGAACAGTTTAGTTCTCCTGATTTTAGAGGAGCTGAGTCAAGATGTGTTGGCTGCACAGAGACAAGCTGAAATGACAGCGCCTGCACATGAGAATTTGGTGTTGAAAACTCTTTTTGATTGACCTGGGCACAAAAGGAAACACTAGTAAGTAGGACCCTTTCAGTGGCTGGCCAGAGTCAGCCCACGAGAACACACCTTGTAGCAAAGGGACCTGAATGTCTTGCCCATTGAGTGAAACTCCTCCACCGTGTTTCATTTTGATGATGCTGTTGTCCATATCCCGGATCCGGACAGAAGCTGAGCGGGTGCACACGGCATCGGGATCATCTGCACACTGCAGAGAAAGGAGAATCTGCCTCAAGCTGTCACTGTATTGGTGACTCAGCCCCAGGCCTCCAAAAGGCATTTCAGCATCTAATTTCGGAGGTGTTGGGTGTCACAGTGCTTTTATGGATCTAGTTTCTGCATCCCACAAACACCAGGGCTGGCAGCCTCCCCTCCATTATCCCACTAATCACACACCAGGGAGCTTCCCGTCTCAGAGCCTGGAAAGCAATCTGTGGGTGCTGCACCAGACCCCAGGGAGCAGCCCAGGCCAATGGCAAACCCTCCCCCAGCTGTGGAAGGGGCAGGAAGGGATGGAGATACCCTGGGGAGGGGAATGTCACTGCACTGACCCACACAGCCCATCAGCCTGGGAAACAGCTAGGCAGTTCACACCACCCAAGCCTTGTGTGGTATTTATTTTCCTGGCTGTGGGTTACACAGGATTGCAGGGCCCCAGCTCTCCTCCCTGGTTTCGAAAGGGGAGTTTCAGTGGAAACCTGTTCTGCAGGTTCCCAAGCACAGACGATCTCAGAGCTGCACCATCAGAGCTTACTAACACACAGCGCAGATGTCAGTGGTGCATGGAACCATCACAGCCCATTTCTCCAAAGTCTGGGACTTCTCGGTTGCTGCAAGACAGGCTGATACTCCCCTTCTCTCCTGTCAGTCTCCTGACTCCATCACACCTCTCCCTGCCTTCAGTTCCTCCATCCCCATCTCCTTTCTTCCTTCAGTGCCCTTTTCAATCTCTGCCTTTCACCTGTTCCCCATGGTCAATTAATTTCACGGCCACGTTAATCTTCCTATGACACCAAACCAGGATCTCCATCCCTCCCTACACTCCTTGCCTCCAGCTGCCTCTCACACATCCATCAGGGGAGACAGCAAAGAAAGTCAGGAGCTGCTGACTGGCTATCAAAAAAAAAAAAAATCACCAGACAATCTGACTAAATGGGAAGCATCTCGAGGCACTGCTCTGCCAATGCACTCCCTTTGGTATCCAGGGAAATGTCCTTTCCCCACGGGCATTCCCCAGCTGGCAAGGGTGCTTTCCAAGGGGTGAACCCTCGCCTGGGTTTGTTTGCTCAGCTGGCAAAGAGGTGGTGAGGGCCCATTGTCCAAACCTCTCCACCTCCAAGCAGGCTCCTGGGATTGGCAGTGAGGAGAAGCAAAACACTTATTAACTGAAAGGAGAAAGGCTGCTATTTAAACTAATTATTTCACAGGAAAATTGCTCCTGTTGGCCTGTGCATCTGCAGTTCCTATCACGCTCTCCCAGGAGGATGCACAGAGGCTCCAGCCAAGGCTGCTGTTACCTGCACCGTCTCAATGACCACGGAGAAGGAATTTTCCACGCAATCCTTGGCAAATAAGTACTGGCAAATCCCGCTGAAGGTGAAATACTTGTTGTCAAAGCTTTTGAAGTGGGACTGGCCGGTGACAGAGCATTCTCCTGGAAAAGGCAAAGAGCCATTAATCAGCCCCTGTGCCAGCAGGGAGCAAAATCCTGCCTGGCCCCCACAAGCCACTGAGGGGGAAGAGTAGACTGGTGGAACGGGTTGTACAAGACCCAAGCTCCCTGTAGACCAGAAAGCACCAGCAAGATGCTTATCTCACTGTTTATTCCTGTGAAGCATCACCAGTAGTAACAGAGGCACCAACAACAGCTGGGGAACACGGTGTAAATCACGCTCAGGAGTTGGAATTTGTGCCTTTGGAAAAGCCTGCAGAGCGTTTCAAGTGGATGATCGTGAGGACATCGGTGAAAAACGCCCTGGAAATTCATCACAGTCACCTCGTGGTCATAAGCTCTTGGCAGATTAGGTACCTGGTACCTGAGATAGGTGCTGGTGGCAATGAACCATTTTAAACAGCAACTCACGCTCTGTGATGCAGGAGCTGCGTTACCTTCCTCACACAATGGGGAAACTGAGGCACAGAGAGTGGAAGTACTAATGCCTAAGGCTGGCAAAGCTGGGAAAGACACTCAGGATTATCCAGCATTAGTCATACACTGCATACAATTGGACATGTTGCCTCTTCTATCCCTGCACAGGAGCTTGCAACGCCTTGGCATGACACACTTTAAATCCAATTTTACTTAACCCACTGGGGCACACCTGCATCCATGGAGCTGGCTGCAGAGCGCAGGTGTCTTTACAGAGTTGAAAGTCAAAACTGTTAGCAAGACTTGTTGTGCTCTTCTGCAGAGGTGCCTCACTCTCAGACTGTGTGTCACAGTTGTGTCTTGGCAAACTGTGAGCCCCCTCTCTGTCTCTTTGCTGGTGTTTTTAGAGGATTGCAGTATGGCTTTATGAAGGGAAAAGTGTCTGAAAGGCTTCTTCACAAGAGGCTCCTTGAACACAGCCCCCAAAAAGTGGTGATTCCTTTGTTGGGTTGTCTTGAATGCCAGTAAGTTATTCTAACATTAAAGTCAAAATGCCTTATCAGAATTAAGAGCTGGAAGATACTAAACCAGGCCTAACCCACCAAATTACAGATTGATTTCCAGGGCATTCCCTGCAACTAGAAACCAGCAGGACAGGTTTGCAGCACACAGAGCTGGGGAACTGCCAGCCAAGACAAGTCCCAGCCCTTTGGCATTGCTCCTGGAAGGGAAATTTCCTTTCTGTGGCAAAGCCTCTCCTTATGGGTCCCTCTATCTGCTCCATTTGGTGTAATGCATCCCAGGAAATTCCCTGAAACCTACTGCCTTCATAATGATTTCAATTATCATATCAGCTTGAGAGCTTCTTGCTAGTGCCAGCCAGCTTCTGCTGGTTGGCTCTGCCACTGCCCTCCCTCCATCTGGGGACCCAGTTTTATCATCAAACTTGCTGGGGCCAAACTGGGCAATTCATTCCCACAGCATCATAACCATCTTTCCTCCTTTTTTTTTCGTTAAAAATAATAATGTAACTACCTAGAGTTTATGTAAGTACGTAAACTTTGTGGACGCACAGTTTTATAAATATTTGTGGTAACCAGCCAACAACAAAAACATGCTGCAATATTGCTGCAAATAGGGACAAAAAGCACGGGAACAGTATAAATCTGGCTGCTTTGGGAGATTCTGCTGCCCTCCCATACTGTCTCAGCACGGTTTGCTGTTGTTTGTAGGTAATGTACAGCAATCAACACCTCAAGCTCCCTAAAAACATCATCTCTGGTTTGAGCATTTGCAGAGACCACCATGCCCCTTTTTTAACTGCTGACACGTGGGGGCAAGTGCTCTTTTGGTCTAAAGCAGAAGGAAATGGAACATTGATGGGTCAGGCAAGATTAATGTTTATAGAAAGACAGGCTTTTTTACTGAGCATTTTAAGACTGTTGTGATTTTCCTAATTTGTGAGTATTGCACAGTCTTATCTGCTCTTCTCCTGTCCAGCCATAACCCCAGTCCCTCCTCATCCCTTCCACTCCATCCTTAAGGAGAATAATGAATTTAAGGAGTTGTGCTGTCTCCCTACAGACTTCTGCCCACAAAGGGTCAGATGCTGTTTCAGGTCAGCCAGGTCTTTCTGTGGCCAAACCCGGTGCAGGAACCACAGCAGGGGATGAGCCACAGGACCAGCAGGAGGAAATGATATGCTGGCCAATGCACGACATGAAGAGCCACATTCTCCATGCAGACAAAAATGTGGGACAGCAGCCATCGGTACCCATGAGTTTGGGAGCTGGAAGAGGAGGAAAAGGAGCAAGAGCACCTGCAGAGCTGCCTCTCCAGCCTGTCACCACCCATGCAAGGCAGGGCAGCCACCTTCTCCCTGGGGCTGTAGCTCCTTCACCCACAGCATGACCTTTGGGGCTCAAGTCCTGGGGTTATTGAGTGATGCAATCCATTCTCAGTACTTCCAACTGTCCCATAAAACAATCAATTTAAGAATTGTACCTGGTCAAAGAAACCCAGTAATGTTCTTCTACCTGAAAGCCAGTCCTCTGAATACACAGACCCTTTTATCTTGGTAAATAAGTAAATAAAAAAGGGACCATTCCCCTCACCAAACAGGATTTTTCACTGCTGCACATAAACCATGCAGCACAATGTCTGACTTGTCTCACGAGAGGAACCTACAAGTGTGATCCCACCTGGATGCACGGGAGCAAGCAAGCAAGAACAAAGAGAGATTCATCTTTTGTGTGGGGGAAAAAATATATAAATGGGAGGGATGTAGGCAAGGCTTAGTTGTCAAAACCTGAAAAGATTAAAACCCACATACCTGGGCATTCCCCGTTGCTGCAGAGCCAGGTGCCACGTCGGCAGATGCTGGAAAACAAGTTAGATAAGAGCATGTGAATTCAAATCTTCTGTTGCAAGTTTCCCCAAAACTCCTGCGACATAGGCCCCTGTTCCAAGGAAATTAGATCAGTCCCCAATATCCTCTCCATCTCCCACAACCTCATTTCTTAATGTATTCATCCCTTCTTACCATCGTTTGACAGCAACTGCTGGGGATATGAATGGAAACGGTTGCAAAACTCAGGAACTTCTGACGTTCCCTGCCAAAGCTCTGTGCTGATTATGTACATTCAGCTATATTCCACTGATTGGAATGAGTTTTCAATGCAGCTCTCAGGGTATGTCCATCAATAATACAACAGAAAATCACAGAGGTAAAAAAAGTTTGAGGGGACCTTTAGAAAACCCATATACTGCAATCCCCCAGCTCAAAAAAAGGCAATGTCCAAGGTAGATCAGGTGGCTGAGGACCTTGAGTTTAGAAATATCCAAGATGAGGTCCCACTGCAGCACCCTCTCAGGGGAAGAATTTTTCCTTGTGTCAGAACAGAATTCCCTCTACTGGAACTTGTGTCCATGGCTTCATGCTCTTCTGTTATTTGCCTCTGAGAAGAGCTTGGCCCAGTCTTCTTCACAGCCTGTCTTTAGACAGTCCCCTTATTAGTCTTGACACAAATCTATTCCCCTTTGCTTCCCCTCACATCAAACTCCCCTACTGTGATCACCTCCAGTGCCCTCCACAAGACCCTCTCCAGTCCTCAGCCCTCTCTCTTGCGGTGCTGGGCCCTGGCAATGCTACTCCTGTCACATCCTCACAAATTCATCACCAGAGAGGGATTTCCGAGTCAGTCAGTTCTGCTGAAGACTCCAAACCCATTTGTGGGGAGTCAGTGTATTAAGGATAAATGCAGAGTCAATGGGATGATGTTCTCCACAGCAGCATCAACTTGGAATAACAGGAAGCAATAAAAAAAATAGTCTGTCAGGCAGCACTCATCTATCTCCCAAGAGCACTAAGTTGGAACAATGTGGTCAAGCTCCAGAGAGCTCCAGGGAAAAAGACAAAATGCTAACGTTGTGGTTCATGTTCTGTGGCACTTGGTGCAGGTAATGAAAACATTCTGATTGATTAACAAGGGTGATGCACAGACCACTTTTCTTCTGCATGTCATGGGTTTCACTGGGTCCTCCTTCTGTACTCTAACTGGAAACTTGTGAGGGCAGAGCTGTCTGAGCTCCTTCCACATTTGTGTCTACACTTCAAACAAAACCAGATCAGGAATACATTAGTCATCCCCCTTCCTTTCTTTAGGCTGCTAGCCTTCCCCTTCAGGTTGGCAGTCCTGAGTTGAGGAAAAATCGTGGGCCATACTAGGAAGACTCATTAGTTTTGTGACAAGTTCCAAGGACATGCCTTAGGCTAACCCCTCTTGGAAAGATGTGGGGCTTAGAGGTTAAATAAATGTAGGAAGTCAAAACAAAGACACCACTGCTGACACTAACCAGACATGGGAACCTGGCTTATCCACAGGAAACAGGTAGTTCTCTGCTGTTTGAAGGAGTGTGACCTCCACATTGTTTTATCAGATCAAATATCCCTTCAAAAGCAGAGCTGATTTTGCCTTTGTGAACAGCTCACTTCTTGGAAGGGGCTGGCAATTCCAACAAGAGAGGCAAGTCCTTTGCCAATAAAAGGAAATTTTAACAAAGTAGAGAGATTTCTAGAAAGATCATCCAAAGCAGTAACCAGTGACAGTAACAAGTGTGCAGTGACTTATCTACAGCAGCCACACCAGAGCAAGGCAGGGTTTACCATGAGTTGCAGTCCTGGGAGATGGTGAAGCCAGGAGGATAATGTTTTCCAGAGTGGATGCAGGAGCACTCAGAGCTCTCGATGCAGTGTTCACCATCAAGGAGCAGCCCCTCTGGGTAGGTCAGGTAGCATCAGATACATGTACCACACACACACACACAGGGACAGAAATGTAAAAACAATTAGATTTTCTAGTTCTTCACACACTTTGGCAAGACTTCATGTGCGTTGTTACCCATCCTTAGTCACAGACAGCAACAAAATCCAGACAGGTTTTGGATTAGACATAAGAGGACCAAAGGGTGAGGGAATGCAGGGAATGAAGAAACAGATTTGGATAGCATGTAAATCTAACAGAGAGGTCTGAGAGGAAGAAACATCATCATGAGGAGCTGTGGAATCTCTTCTCGACTTCAGCAGAAGCAAAAGGGCCAACTTCCCTTGAGGTTTCCATATGACACAACTGCAACTACCTACTCTATATAGAGAGTATTTCATCTTACAAGGATAAGTGGAGGTACAAAAGAGTTACAGGACTTGTCTAAGGTAGCACTATAGGCTAGAAACAGAAGAAAGGAAAAGTTTCTTCCTCTGCAATCCCTACATTGAGAGAGAGTTGATATTCCTCCATTCTTAAAAGAGCTGCTGTAGCAAAACATTTGATTTCTTGAAAACCTCTCTCCCTTCTCCTCGAAGGACTCTTTCCAACAGCCTGCAGAGACTTTGGCTCTTTTCCCTGGTAGTAGCAGCCACCACAGACAGAGAGACACAGGTAAGTGCCCTTTCTCCCATTCTTCCCATAGAGCTGCCTGGAAAGATCTTGGCTGTTGAGGAGAATCCTTCCAGGGAGGGATATTCAAGAGAAGATCTGAGCATTTAAGAGATGGGTGGCTCTCCAGAGAGCACAAGAAAACAGAAGGCCTGCCTTTTTTTCCTGGCAATAGTAATTCCATTTACAGCAATTAGAGGAACTGTGGAGCATTTAAGGGAGGAAAAGAAAAAAAAAAAAAAACAAACAAAAACAAACAAACAAACAAAATATTTTCTGAACAGATCCTTTTTACACTTGGAGAACTAGAGGGAAGATAAGCAAAGAGGAAGAGTGCAGTGGTTGAGCTGCCCCCTTTAATCCAATCTCATCTCCTGTATGAAAGGTTCAGTGATAAGTGAAATTGTTCATCTGAAATCACAACGACTTTTGAAATTATATTGTGAGCTCTGTCAATTATATTGACTGGGTTTTTTTGCAATAAATTCTTCTGGTATGTGTTCTGTTGTTTCTTCCTCGAACTGTATGCCTCTAACCAAAGCAATTCAGAAGGAATACATCAAGGATCCAGGAAATAAAGGCAATCCTAAAGCAGCAGTTGGTACTGATTTTCACAAAAACATTTACTTTTTAGCTGGGCCTGAAAAATGGCCCTTTCATGGAGTGAGCATACAGGCATTACAGAAACTGGTTTATTCTGGGGCTTGGGCCCAGAAAGAAAGAAGTGTTTCTGATTTAAGAAAATTTAAGGGAAGACACAGCTCTCCTTCTTCTAATAAAATAGGTAGCATGACTGCCAAATGTTTCTCTGTAAATAACCCAGTAAAAAAATTACCAGGGCAGCTGCAGCCATCAACACATTGTCCATGACACACTTCATTGATATTCAGGCTCTGGCAGGTTTTGGTACATGGGGATACACATTCCTTATACACCATGCCAACTGGACATCTTGGCCCTGAAAAAAAAAAAGAAAAGAAAAGAAAAGAAACTAGAAATGCAAATTCCTTAATAAATCTTAAATAAATAAATCTCCTAATTATCAAAAGCTGAACCACAGGAACACCAAAAAGGTCACATCCTCTCCAATGATTGATTTCTTTTTCAGAAGCAGGACCTTTGGGAAACATTTGACTTTCAGTTTGCTGCAGTACCATCATATGTCAAGTAGTGTAGCAGATACACAGAGATTAATTTGTTTTCTAATAAACTGAGTCTTAATAGCTACGCCCAAATGCATTAACAATGACGAAACAATGGGGAGAAGTTTTGCAATAATATTAAAGTCATTTGGACAGACAGGGTGTTCTGTACCTTTAAGCTATGCAGTTTGTGAAATTATACTCTTTGGTAAGACTCCTTCTTCCAGAGAGCTGCCAGCACAGGGTAACCCCCCCTGCCACGGCACCTTCCCTGCTGGCAGGCCATTAGACAAGCACACACTATGGCCATTCCTTCATTTCCATGCACAGGCATTCCACACCCTCCAACACTGCGTGGGCATGGAGTGGGATGAGGAGATCAGAGCCTGCCCTTTGCCATCAAATCCTCCATTGAAGGAGGTGGGAGGGGAATGGAGGAGTTCTCTCGCCCTTGGCGCCCTGGGCTCGTGTGCCAGCTCACACTCACACAGTGTGCCCAACGAAACATCTGCATCACCTCCTGAGGCAGCATCACAGCACAGATGAAGGGGGATGGAAAACTAAGCTCCTGATGTGGCAGCAGGCCACTTCTCTTTTTCCTGACTCCTTAAAAAAAAAACCCCATGGTTTGTCAAATCAAGGGTTAGAAATGAGCTCTAGAGCTCCTGGGATCAAAGTTCATTTCACCTGTGGCTTTAGTCAGACTCACAAACAGCCCCAGCAAAAATGGGTTCTCTGGATCACACCCTGAGCCAGGATTTGAGCCTTCACCAGATCCCTTTTATGTCCCAGTGCAAAGGTAACCAATTACTGCTAGAACTCAGGCTCTCCCTTGTGTGCAATCTCTCTCCCTGCTGTACAATCCCTCCAACAAGTGGTTGGCAGTATCTTCCTGCCCTGCCCATCATCTGAAGGCACAGTGGTGACCAGCAGCAGAATGCCTTTACCAGAGCAGGAAGTGTTGTCCATACAGATGAGTCAACTATTCCATGGAATCAATTTACATAAACATTCTGAGAAAATTGAGGGTTTTGTGTAATGAAGAGCTATGAGAAAAATGTCTGAGAACATGATAGTAGAGAATGGCGCTTTTTAATTTTTTAATTTTTTTTTTTATGCTTGTATTAAACCAGAGTTCTCCAGTGGGGGCATATGTGTGTATCAGAGCAAGTGCAAACATGACCTTCCCTCTATTCCCAGCCAGTCTGTGCACTTCCCTGTTGGAAAACCTCGGCAGAGATGCAATCAGGACCTCTGACGTCAGCAAAGCTGGGCTAATAAAGGCAGCAGTTCAAGATGCAATCAGGATCCCTAACCTAGACAAAAACTGGCTTAGAAAAGGCAACATCCCGATTTCAGTGTAATTGGTTGAAGCAAATAAAAGGTGAAACAACTGCTTTGATGGAAAAAAAAAAAAGGTTAGGGAGCCTTTCACCAGGATGCTGACTTACAGGTGCCTGTTGAATGATGTCACACATTTGAATCATCTGTGAAACAGCTCCTAAACATCCCAGTCTGCACCTTCATGCACCAAATAAGTCTTCACAGAATTTGTATATCAGGGTGGCACATGTAACAGCTCAGGATCTTCCTCACAGAGGATTCAAACAGCCCTGCCTCAGGGATAAAAACTTCTAGAACAAAGGCGGGTGACGGAGAGCTGAAAGAGCCCTTCAGGTTTTATGCTTGTATTAAATTAATTAAATTCAGATTTTAACCCGCCATGCCTGAACCTAAAAAAAAGCACTGACTGCTTTTAGAAATCTGCAAGACAGGCACGACCTTGTTTAGGATAAAGAGACCAGGAGTAATCCTGCCAGCTTACTGCACGAGCTCTCTTGGGGCCAGCCATCCAGAAGGACTCCTTGGTGGGCGCAGCTCCTGGCGTATTCCAGGAATGCCGGGCAGTGACAGTCCTCGTGGCTGCAGGCACAGATGTCCCTCTCACAAACACCGATATAGGGCTCTGGATCCACCCGGTGGTGGCACCGGGAGAAGGTGGAGGATGTCCTCAGCAGCTGGCAGGCTTCCATGATGCCCTGCACGAGAATTGAGGAGCAAAGGTTAAAAAAAAAAAAAAAATCACAGCTATTATTTAACACCACCATGCAGTTAATTACATCATAGCCAAGAAGTAAGAATGATTAATACACATTCCTTCACTGCATCCACATATACACAGAGGTACATTAATACACTGATTATTACAGAAGAGGGTGTCACATGAGGGGGTTTTCACACAGAAACATGTCAGTCAGCCAGCAAATGGATGGAAGAATTCGACTTCCTTCCATCACAGAGCTCACAGAATGTTCTGAGTTGGAAGGGACCCACAAGGATCACCAAGTCCAACTCTTAAGTGAACGGACCAAACCCACAACCTTGGCTTTATTGGCAACACACTTTAACCAGCTGAGCTAATCTCAGGACATCCTTCCCACCCAGCAAAGAACCAGATGGTGTCTGGTTTCCCAGGAAAAGAGGAGCCTAGGACTGAGGCATGGAGGAAGAAAAATTACCAGGTCATCATTTGAATAACGAGGGAACAGAGTAAGCTTTAGAGTGAAAGATTGAGCCTGAAATCCCAGGAATGAAATTTGTTTCCCACTTCTGGCCACACCTGCCTGTTGCTCCTGCTGGATCAGATAAACAGCAGAAAAATAACTCAGGGAAGAAAAGGAATTTTTTCTGCTCTTCTGGTGAGTTAAATCAGCATGTTGACAGCAAGAGTGAGGGGGGGAGAGGATATCAACACCTCTCTTTACAGACAGCAGCAACCTAAGAGGAAACTTAGCTATACATGAAAACAAACAAACAAACAAATAAAAAAAAACTAAGGAAAACTTAACGTTTGACTCAGTTTTCCATGGGAGGCTCCTAAATAGATTCTTACGTGCACATTATATCACATTCAATAACTCTGAGGTCCTCAATGTAATTTTCTGAAAGGATGGCACTGAGTTTAGGTAAGTGGGAAAATTATTTCCTGATACAGCCCTGGCACAGAGAGTTGAAGCATAACTTGCTTTCTCATTTTTGGGAGATGAAAAATCCCACAGAGCTGAGCAGTCAGCAGAAATTTAGAGATCTTCTCTGAGTGGCAGCTGTATGGGAAATTATACCTGTAGAGGAAAACTGCTGAGTAGAAAACACTTATTTTGCTAAAGGGCGCTTTGTTCAGGTGATCAGCTCAAGCTCGTACATGTCTGAACCAAGACAGAATTTCTTGCTTAGGATAACAAACCAACCAGAAATGCCTAGTCCATTCCGAGTTTAGCAAAGGGCTCAGTGAACAGCACAGAGGTTTTGAGCTTCCTGAGAACGGTCTCAGGGAATTTAAAACAATGCTAACTGAGAGCTAAACGTGGTGGGCCTTCAGAAAACCACTGGAATAATTCTGATGGTCAGGTAGCAGCCACCATGCTGAATAAGAAAAAAAAATAGAAGGGAGGGAGCAGGAACTACATAAATGGTGGCTGGTGCTGCTCTGAGACTACACAGAAGAACAAGAAAGCTGAAAAAGTGCCCTGAGGGTGGAAGTAACAACAACAGAGGCAGCCAAAAAAGCTATTAAAGCAGTGCTTCGAGATGAGACTGATAAAACCAAAAGTGAGCTCAGCCATTCAGAGGATGAGCAGCACAGCAGCTCCTGGATCAAAGCCTTGATCCAGACAGCATCAAGTGCACCAGAAAACCAGTACCTGCAACAAGCCCATGTAGGGGCTGGGCTAATAAAATTTCTTAACAAGGAACTTGTTAAAAAGTTAATACAACTGTTGTATTCCATTAAAAGGAAAACCAGTAGAAACAATTTTTATGAGCACGGTTGTAACGCATCAGTAAATTTTAAGATGTGAAAGCAACTTAAAAAAAAATAAAGCAGATTACATATACACGAAAAATTAAACCGTTTTTCTTTTCCTATAGTTTTCTTTGGTCTTGGACAGCATAGCTAAAGGTTGAGCTCGAGTTGATTGTCAAGGAGACAAGTGATAGGTGTTAAAGAGCAACAAAAAGTCCTTTTTTTCTCCCCCATGTAAAGGTTTTCTTTGGCATTCAAATTTCTTCAGATTTTTCAGTGCCTTTATAGAAGAAATTAGAGGTGGAATTTTCTTGTCCTTTAGACACATCTCAACTATTGTGATGAATTAATGGACAGAAGCCAAAATATCATAATCATAGAATAGCCTGAGTTGGAAGGGCCCCACAAGGAGCATTCCAGTCCAGCTCCTGGCCCTGCACAGGACATCCCAACAATCCCACCATGTGCCTGAGAGAGCCTTGTCCAAATGCTCCCCGAGCTCTGGCAGCCTTGGGGCTGTGACCACTGCCCTGGAGAGCCTCTTCCAACACCAGTAAATCCAAGGAGATACAAAACAAAACAAATCCACCGCGAGGGTGGTCAGAGACTGGAACAAGTGTGTCCCAGCAGACCAGGGAGCGAAGCCTCAGGCTGAAACAGTGCTTAGGGTAAAGCTGTCTGTAAGATTCCAACTGGAAGAACTGACTGCAGTATGCAAAGTACAGGTGAAAGTCATAAAACTTCTCCCTCCACTTCTATAGAAGTTCTATTTTAAATGTTTCTTTAAATGGATCAGCAGCCTCCTGGCCCTGACAACCCTTGGTGACCACAAACTTGCTGACCTTCCTTATTCCCCAGTCCCTCCACACAGAGCTGGAGGTGGAATTCTGTACATTCTTCCCATTTCTGTGCCATTGCCTTCTGCTGCTGCAGGGACTGCCTTTGTCTGTTGCTTAACAAATGCCATTTAAAGAGATATGACCTAAAAAGCAACAGCAGAAATCAGACACTCCCTCTCATTCCCTTTAATTTAAGCCCTAAGGTATAGAGAGGCACAGAGTTCCTCCAGGTCATTCCGGAAGGAATGCTATCACTTTATTGTACATGGAAGTATTCCATGGGATAATGAGCTGTTTCTTACCAATCACAGCAAAAACTGAACTTGGGAAAAGCAGAAACTACTTGAATTTCACTTTCAGCCATTTTCACATCTAAGGTTTTATAGGTATAATTTCCTAATAAGAAAGAAAATAAGGAAATAATACAGTGAATACAATGAAGTCTGCCCTCCACACACCATTTCTATTAGTTGTGAACTCTAGAATACAAAGGTAACACATAAGAATGCATAAATCAACTGCAATGCTTTAAAAAAATGCTGTCTGGATCACAAGGCAAGGGAGACAACAGGTAGACACACACGTGTAAATGTGTGTTCAAAGGTGGAGGGCAGGGAGGGACCCTGAACAACAGTGGAGTGAGAATGTGTGAGCTGATTCGAGATTTTCAGCTGATACACAGAGCCATTAGTGAAGACAAACCCACAAAATTTCCAGCGTCTTTTAGGATTTGAAGATAAAATTGCTACAGAGCTTTTCTGGTTTCACTGCGTAGAATCAGAGGGGTTTGGGTTGGAAGGGACCTCAAAGATCATCTCATTCCAATCCCCCTGCCATGGGCAGGGACATCTTCCACTGTCCCAGGTTGCTCAGAGCCCCATCCAAACTGACCTGGGACACTTCCAGGGATGGGGCATTTACAGTTCCTCTGGGCAACCACAGCCTCACTGCTCTCATGGAGAACTTCCTCCCAATACCCAAAATAAACCTACTCTGTCAGCTTGAAGCCATTCCCCCTTGGCTTGTCCCTGCAATTCCCAACAAGAGAAGTCAGAAATCACCTCTCCAGGGATGCCTGTTGGACTGGGAAGGGGGACAGGGTGGCTGACAGAGAGAGCAAAGAGAAACACAGACCTCCCAGCACGGGGGTCACAGGGGTGGGAGGAGTGCTCTGAACCTGAGCTGCTGTTTTCCTCACCTAACAGCTGATTGTTTGCCGGGGAGGGAGAGAGGGAGGCTGGGAGACAGAGAAGATTTACATTCCTGGAGCTGAAGCAAGCAAACAAAGCACACCATTAAAAAGCCCTACATTCTTCAGCAGGCACTTGTTTGGCCAGACTTCTATTAATAGCTCTGGGTTTATTCTTGCACAGGGAATAAATTAAAGCAACGTTAGATGTGTGAACTCACACGAGAGAGAATATAATTTCATTCACCTTGCAGGAAAACAAACTTTATCCACAAAGCATCAACATTTAACATGATCTATAGAAAACCCACATAAGTTGCAGTTGACCCAGACTGGATTTCACCCTGAAGGCCAATCCCCAGCCTCAGCTGCAATATTGACATTTTCTAAGTGTTAAACTTGCCTGAATAGACCAAATTCCTGCATCCACAACCAGTCACAAGAACTAGTCCTGCTCTAGAGCTATATATAGCCAGGTTTAAAGAACCATGGAATGGTTTGGGTTGGAAAGGACCTTAAAGATCATCTTGTTTCAATCCTCTGCCATGGGCAGGGACACCTTCCACTAGCCCAGGTTGCTCAGAGAGCAGGTAGGGGAGGACAAACCGGACTGGAATCTCGCGGCACCAACCTTCTCTGCAATACCAGATGAAATGTTGCAGGTGTTGCTTGGAGTCTGCACCCTCTTGCAGCGCTTGTTTTCACTGTGCAAAGCCCAGGAGTTGGCAAAATCATAGCTGTTCCCCACCAGGGTCCCTGGGAATGAAAAAAAAGAGGAGAAGCAAGTGGCTGTTGAGGGGTTTCAGCAACAAGTGGGCAGTATTGGCTATTCTCAAGGTGAGAGCCTGCTGAAAGCTGCCTTTAAAGATAAAAACTGCCATATCCAATGGATTCCTACTCCAAAAAGATTGACTGCAGGAAAAGCTGCTATCAGTGATCTGGACTGACTCCTGCAGAAGACCTCTCTCAGCTCAAGGACACACCAAAGCCTGCAGAAGGCAGCTCCCAGCACCTCTCACACCTGCACGAACGTGGTGGAGTTATTGCTGGTAAGATGTAATTTGCAGAAGCCAAAGCACACCTACGTGTCTTCCTACTATTTAGAAGCTGTCAATAAAGCACAAGATACATTAGAGGGGCAAACAAAATGCAGCTGCTTTCCCTATCCAAGTATTAGCATTCCTGATCCCAGCTAGCCTGGATTTTTCTCCTCTCCAAAACTAAATCACACATGCTAAGAAACTGAACATACACCCATCATGGTTTGAGTCCATCATCTGTGATGATGATGATACATCTTCCTGTGTAAGGTTTGCATCCACTTTGGAAAAAAAAAAAAAAAAAGAAAAAACCCAAACAAAAAAACCCACACAAAACAACCAAAACTCCCAAACCAAACTAAACCAAACAAACAAAAACTAGAAATTAGGGGCTTATAAAGCTAGCATGAGCTAGGCCCACAGCAGATGGCAGAGCAGGAAGATTCAGAGGAAAGGATGGCAGGGAAAGGTGGCAAAAGGTGTGAAATTTTCATCTCTACAGCCAGGGCTTGCACAGCAGAGGAAAGGCAGCAATAAGTAGAACACAACCCTTCAGCTTAGCACAAATTGTACATTAGAGCAACAGTGGAATCCAGCCTGAGGAGAAGCAAGGTGTCGAATTAAATGTATCCCCTTCTGTTTGCAGTAATTCAGGCTTCCAGGTACGTAACAGGAGTTGGGCTCTGCTCCAAAGCAATATTCCCCTGGCCCTGAATGCACATCCATGCCAGGCTTCCTGCTGGCAGGGACCCATGGATGCTCATTCATACACAAGTTAAGTTTTGAAGGCTGGGACAATTGTTGGCCCAGAAATGGTGGTCACTCGTTTTTCCAATTCTCCCCCTCCAAGAGATTTTTTTTTTCCCCCTTCTGTGGCACTTGTAAATTTCTACCTCTTACACAACTCTTTTACACAATATTTCCATGTTTCTAGTTTAGTTCTTCTGCTGCATTCTATGATTAATACTTTCAAGTAAGTGAATAGAGAATAACTCTCTACTTTCAAGTGGAGAATAACTCCTACAAGGTTCAGGTTGGACACCAGGAGGAATTTCTTCACTGAAGGCATTGGAAGGGGCTGCCCAGGGAGGTGATGGAGTCACCATCCCTGGAGGATGTTCAAGAGCAGAGCACTCAATGCTCTGGTCTAGTTGACAAGTTTGACTTGATGATCTCAGGGGTCTTTTCCAACCTAAATGATTCTGGGATTCTGTAAATTCTTTACAAAATAAATCATCTCAAACCTTGTTTGGGTTTTTTTTTAGAACCTGCTTTTCCAGCCCTCATGTTGCCAGCATCTGACTGTATATTAGCAGACTATGGAAATGTGAAAAGCAGCTGGACATGGAGGTTTCTCTGATCACCAGAAGACCTCTAATGTGAAATGATGAAGTGACTTGGGCCACTGAGCTGCTTAACCCACAGGCATCACGGAATAAGTTATTTCTGCAGAGGGTCCCTTTGGAGAAGACTCTCACACTACACACCCTGTCCATCAGTGAGGGAATTCTCAATTCATCTACTTGATGAAGTTTTGGGGAAAAAAAAGCAGGGAGGGAAAAATGCCTCCAGCACACCTGACTGCTCTGGGCAGAGGGAAGAGCAGCTGCCAACACCCCTGGGACCTCCATTTCCTTCTGCTGAAAGACTCGAGTGGGTAGGAAAGGCAGTGGAAGAGACAACAAAAACAGCCTAAAACATAATATGGGGTTCTTTAAGTGTGCAGGTGATGTTATCAACAGAGCATCCAGGCAGCTGAGCTGCCTGATCTGGCACTGTTTTCCCACTATACAGTGGGACTGCCCTCCTCTCTGCACAGGAAGCATTTGAACAGCAGTGCTGGAAGAACTGGTGCCTGGTTTGGACCAGGGTACACAGATACCAGCATGCAAACTGGCTGCTCAAAAGCCAAGACCCCCAGGGCAACCAGGTGGTGTGCTGGTATCTCCTTTTAGGATTCAAGATGGGTTCAGATAGGTGATGCTCACTCTTGACAGCAAAATCTGCTTCCACAGTGATATCTGAGTCTCAGAGC